ACCCTAATTCCCCAGCTCGATTTCCCCTTTCGTCGTTTCCGCTCTCTTCCTCCTTTCTGCTCCACAGTTTCTCTTTCTTTCTTCCCCCTCGTATTCGATCTCTATTTTCTTTCTACGACCTCTTCTCACCTCTTCCATTTCTTCCCTCCGATTCTTCTTCCTGTTGGTTCTCAAATTTCTTACGACCTATAAAGAATCCACAACAACAAACATCAGTTATGAATTGGAAATGTCACTTAAGGAAAACGTTACCCCTGATGAACAATGGAGGTGGCTCGTCGGTGAGTTTGCGGTGGTTTAGCGGCCACGGAAATGTAGAAGGGATCCGCGGCGGCTTTGGTTATTTGCGGCGATGAAACACTTTGACGGCGACGGATTCTGAGAGCCAGATAAATCTTCCTTTCTCTTTGATTTAGGGTTTTGATTATGGGAATTTGTTAATGTTGAGTGTTTGGGGGATTATCGTATCTCCTTACGTGTGTTCTAATTCGTCTTCTTATATAGGGTTGCAGGAGACAGAGCGAATTGAAGAGTATTTAAGGTGTTTCTAATTCGAGCGGTGCATGTTTGGACGGATTTGGAACAGATTGATGATGATGATTCTTCCCTGAGAAATTTTGAATTAGTTTCCATTTTTGATGATTTCTGCTTAATTGTCTTGATATGATGTCACATTCAAATCACCGCTGAGATAATGCTAATCATGAAGTTCTGGTTGTATTAAATGATGTCCTGATTTGTCATGCTTGCTTCTGGTTTGCAGGTGCTGGGAGACGATGGACATTTTCTCGCTGTTGCTTCAATTGTGTTGAGCCCCAAATGCTTCATATTAACAAAAAGCCAACTGCATAATTGGTTTGTACAGGATAGGGTGTTGTGACTCAAACAGACAGGAAGTGGAAATCCCCTTTGAAATCTTCAAACTTCAATTGGACCATGCTATACTGACATTTAGCAGCACTTTGTTTGTCAGTTTCTTTGGATGAGGCTTTGGTGGAAGTTTGGAGCAAGTCCCACTCAAATTCCTTGGTTCAGTAAGTGATTTCTTTATTGTCTTTGATGCTTGTGATTTTATATTGTCGATTGCTTTCCTTCACTTTCAAACCTATCGAGACTTAATTTCTCATGCATTTTGCAGCTTGGTTAACGACTCCATAACGATCGTAGTTTACAATCAGGGCTTGCTGGGTCTGGGAAGTAACGATTACATGACTTGATTCGTACTAGTTCACACGTCTACCGCCAACTTGACAGTTTCTTCACAAACAAACGAGCAAGCGCGTATGGTTCCTTGGTAATAGTGTCCACTTTAGGAGTATCAGATGCGAAAGAAAACCCAGGAAGCAAATTAGATAGATCCATTTGCAGGCACTCCAGGACCTTTCGAACGAAAAGGTTTCTCTCCTTTTCTTCACAACAGTCGGGAACAAAACAATGAAGATTTGAAATGACTTTGACAAATAATGAAGTCCTGTGATATGAATAAGAAGCAGAAGGCATGATGTTATGTTTCATATTCAATTCCAAGACTGTTGAATTCTGTAGATCCGTAGATGAACTATTATCCAAAATCCATCCAACTGTAGCAAATATATTATATTCAACACTTGCATCCTCCTCCATTTCTAAGAGATTAGACGAACACCAAGAGGATAAAAAATCCATATGGGAGAGTGATAGTACTGCTGTAAGAACTTTAGTAAAATAAACTATGATGCAAGATCGAGCCCAATTGGGTATCTTCTATTGGTAGTAGTGAGATGCCCAGGATTTCTTCCAAAAGCAGTCTTCAACAAGTCCAATACCTCCAACGCAACAGATTTAGCCAAATCTAAACTTTGTGATGAGGTGGCTACTTGATCGAGATAAGAAATGTTTTCTGCTTCACACAAACTCAGCAGAAATGGATATTATTTTGGCTTTCAGCCTTGAAATTCCAGCCACGATCCTAGTTGGAGAAGATGATTGAATGTTTAACTTCAAGATAGATTGAGCGAGGAAAAGAATGCTTCCCTTTCCACATAGTTCCTTATTATTGAGCAGGCGCTCCCTAAACAATTTCTGCTGGCACAATGACTGAATAAACTGTAGAGAAGCCTCACATTGCTGGCAGAGAAAATATACTACTTGTTCAGATGAAAGATTTGATTCCATGGAAAAATCTTTGTAGCAAACTATCAATGTAATCTCCAGACTCCTAACAACCACGCGAACTGATCCAAAAGCTGCATCCATAAATAAGTCAACCTTTGGGTGTGCAAGCAAAACATTGGCAATATCTTGAAACTGTGTTGATATAAACCCAGTTATTAGATGTAAGTTGCATGCTAAAAGAGCAGAATGCGAAAGGTACATAAGTCTAGAAGCATGATCTTCCTGTCTGTAGGTACTAAGAATAGTAAGGATGTACAAAACCAAATCAATCAGTTGTTCCACCACTTTCAAATCATGTAGAAAAATCTGATCAAATTTTGGATGTCGAGAGGCTAAATCACATAACGAATGCAACAGACGAATGCCACATAACACGTATTGGAACACATCATCATCTCTTCTAGAAAAAATTAGTATTGTAGTAAGATGCAATGGAAGAGATTGTGCAAGCTTGCCTATATCAACCTTCAGAAGCACTCCTTTTTCAGTAAGGTAGTGAGCAGATAAATTTCCACTTCCAGAATCCTTTAATAATCTATAAAGGTCCCGAGAGTTGAGTTTATGCAATTCCTTTAGTGTTGACATCAAGTTTAATGTCTGCTCACCACTGCAGGGCGGTTCTTCCTTATCAATCCCCATTCTTTTTGAGTGTAGAAATGGAAGAGACGCGGTCGATGGCGACGAGAGAGGCAAAGAAGAGGGATGGACTGAAGAGTGGGATATTTAACCGCTTGGCTTTGGCTAGATGACATCTTCATCGGTCTTTCCGGTAAAGCGAGAAGAAAGCGAGTTCATGATCGATCCTTTGATTGGAGTTTCAGTTCCGTCCAAAATATTAACAATTGTCTTTCTCATGTAGGTCGTCAAAGACAAAGTACCTGTCACTGCTTTATTTTACGAAAGGGCGGATGCTACGAACAAGTCGAAGGAGTGAAAAAAAACTCAGAGCTGGTTGTATCAGAACAACTCTATATCGAGGTGTTGTTTCGATCAAGAAGCTGTACTTGTCCTTGCGTGGAGGTCCAAAATGGCTGCAGTCAAGTTGTAACAAATTCTAGTATTCTAGCACCATGTCTTGTTTGCAATGCCTTGTAATGACTTGTGTTAGTTTAAAAAAAATGGAAACCTTTTTGTTCTCACAGTGGCAGCAATGTAACGTCTCGTGAGTCACTCGGTTGAATTCTTTGACTTTTACGTATGGCATCTTGGAAGAAATCTAACTCATAGACTAAGTTATAATCCTCCGCAAATTACATGCTTGGTTATGTATCTCCTTAACTTGCAGTGAGTTGTAACTTTCTTTAATATTTGAAAATTAAACTTGTAAACTTGAGCTATAATTATTTCAAGCTCAATTATCAACTTTGAGTTTGGAGTTCGAGACCTGATGCCGAATTTGAAAATATAAACATCATCGTTTGACTTTGACCGTTCTTGGAAGCATAGCGATGAATTCCGCTTTAAATTTCTTGCTAAAGGTGATAACCCCACTTCATGAACAAAACTAGCCCTTTTTTATCTGAATTTGACATGTATAATTCGGGAATCTGGGTACTTGACTTGAACGTTCTCGCATCCGTTGTCCATAATTCGTGCTCCACGCGAACATGACTTTAAAAAGGATCCCTCACTTAATGAACATTCCAGCCCTAGCGTACTCAACAATCTGAATCTTGAATCCACAATGTCTTGCCCCAGAAGGCCACATAAACCTGTCAGAGATACCTTAAAAAACAAAATGATCTCGCACACACTCGTTAGTCGTGAAAAAAAAATTAAAATAAAGTCAAATAACAATAGAAAATGCGCAAACAGAGGTGGGATCTTACGGTCAAAAATTAGGGTGTGACAGATGCCCCTATTTGAGTTACTTCTCTCCGGAGATATGGAGATAGTCTATTGAGAGTTCTTTACTCTTATTTGATTGATTATTCCATTAGATTAAATTAATCTCTTTCCAATATCAACCATCATTAAGAGGGCAATACTGTTTTCCAATTGAATCAAATAATAATTTCATATGATTCATGAAATAGTTTACATGTGTTGGTTTTAATATATGAATTTTGTTATATACGTAAATCTTTAATTTATTTGTAAATATTTTATATGAGCTCTGTCTTAAATAATTAGCTTGAATCTCTTTTGTCTTCAAACGCATTTTAAAAGTTACGTAAGAGATATTGCCATCTTATAGTTTATAAACATCGTACTAAAAAATGAAAATAGGTCATTTTTTATTTAAAGAATTATGAGAAATTTATGTTTATGTTTTTTTAATTTATCAAAAATACATAACTTATCTATAACTCCTCACTATTAAATTCCTAGTAAAGAATGCTACAATCAATGGTAACAATACAGAAGAGTGGGACTAAGACTAATCAGGCCCAACAAGCCCAATTCCTAGTTGAGAAAAGAAGGCTACAATCAATGTAACAATACAGAAGAGTGGGACTAAGACTAATCAGGCCCAACAAGCCCAAGACAGAATTATAAACCCAATAATAATGGCATATTACTGCCAGGGATGGTCAATGGCTTGCAAAAGATGTTAAGCTCGTAACAGAAAAATCTAGAGAGGTTTCCCATAACAGAAAAATGCACAGTATTAGGATGGGAGGAAAATAATTTTACAGTAAGGAAAAATCATCAATGACCAACAGTAAGTTCAAGTGAGGTTTGCATATATGACTCAATAGGAAGAAGGCGAAGTAATAATTGTATGCTGGTGGTGTATGAGTTGTCACAGACATTCAAAGTGAATTTGCAAATCTTCAGCTTGGTTTGTAACAGAAAAGGAACAAAGGCTTTGACTTTTCTGTGAAGAATATAAAAGTGAATTTTCAAAGCTTGTGAATAATCCTGAGCTTTGCACTTCTACTTTGGCGGTTCAATTCTTCCTCTTTTCTGATGGTGTGATTGGTCTTTTTGTGAGAGTCCACCCCGTACAATGATGTCTCCTGCTTCTTTTTAGCCTTGACATTCCTCTGAGCATCACTATCAGATGAATCATCCCTGTGCTTTTTCTTGAGAGTCCCACCCTTCCTGTGGTGCTTTGTGTCTTCAACACTCTTTTTCTTGGTATTTTCGTCTTTTAGAACTTCTTCCGGTTGTTTCTTCCGACTGAAATCTCTGTCCAAAAAGGAATGTTCAGAAATATGTTTTGCATCCGGAACCGATACACCCCTTTCATTTCCAATCTCCTCGTCATTCCCATCTGCATTCAATTCACCGGGTTCAGATGAAGCTATGCCAAGAGCAGCTTTCAATGTTTCCATTTGTTTTTCCTTTCTAGCCGCAATTTGGTGAGTCTGTGTATCAGAAAGCCTGAAATTTCACAAAAGAGATTATTTAAGAGATACCTAGGTATTAACTTTGCAAACACAGTTCACAAAAATAGTGATGAGCGTATTTATATAGGGCAGTGAGAATTTGTATATTTCAATTTCTTTTTCATGAATAAAAAGGCATTCTAAAATTATTCTATGTATAGGGAATCTGTATATTTCAAATAAAAATCATGAATAAAAAGGCATTCTAAAATTATTTCTGTGAATAAGTATTAAGATTAAGAACAAATTGGAATCTGAAAAAAATTACAATTACATGATTTTGGGAAACTATTTTGAGTTGACTTTAACAAAAAAATTAGTAACCAAACAAAAAAGAAAAACATAAGCTTTACACAAATCCCTGCAAAATAAATCATGATTTTAAACAACCTATAAATCACATTTTCAAGCCTAAGCAAAATAGGCCGAAGCACTGTCTAATTGCATCCGATTCCAAATCGCCCACTTGAAACTAGACATAATTCAACATGAAAACCTTTTGTTTAATTAACAGATTATACAATTCATAAACTATCCAAAATATGAATACTAGCTGGCCACAAGATTATTTCAAACCAACAATTCACAGAGAACAGAGACAATTCAACCAACAGTGTAAAGATCAAATCATTAGTCTAACAGAAATATCAAAATCTTAAACACTTACTTATCCAAATTGGACGATCCATCATTTTCGTCAGCTGCAGCTTCCAAATTAATCCGAGCCTCCTCAAGTTTCTCGGCAATCTCAGACTCAGTATAACCCTGATCAATTAGTTTGTCTTCAAGGATAACAAGCTTGAGCTGAATCTGACGCTTGCGGTCATGCTCAAGAATCTCTTTGTTGGCCTTTCTGGTAACCCCAGCAGTACCCTGATCTGCTTCAAATCCCTTCATGTTCTCAGCAACCTTTGAAGTTCTAGGCTTCAAGAAAAACTTGTTGCTCTGAATGTACCCATTGGTACCTGAACCTCTTGGGGTTTCTAACCCTATTCCGTTATACATGTTGTTCACTGCAACAGAAACCAGAAAAAAAATTAGGAACTCTAATTTCAATGAGAATTGTCCAATCTTAAATATATCTGACGCAATTAACGAATTGAACACCAAATTTATTGTGTATCAAATTTCTATATTAATTCCTTACATTATTTAAAGAGTTAGTATCATCACTTATTCTTATAATGTTGTCCATGTAGCAGATCAAACCGTCGAGTCAAATTCACAGCAAGAACCACCACACATTATCACACAAAACTAATGACAGATAACACTTTTTCACAAGTTCTTAATGTTTATCAATCCACTAAAACTAACCCTATGATTCAATTCCTCTCATGAAATTGATCATACCCATGGTTATAGAATTGAACTCATCTTTACCTTTGGATTGAGGGCAACTCTAAACTCTGGATTCCGGTCTCCGATTTGTTCTCCGGTACTCTTCGGCAACTGCCTTGAAATCTATCCTAATGGTTAATTTCCTCTGCTCTCAACTTCTCGCAGTCAAATTCTTTTCCCTTTTGGTTTATGTTTTTACTATAACTAGTTTTTCCAATCTAGGTTATTTTTCTGATTTCGTTAATTTTGGGCTTACTAGTAGCAGCATCTTTCGTTAATATTTTGGGCTTACTGGTAGCACTATCTTTCGTTAATTTTGGGCTTACCGGTAGCACCACCCCCTTTTACTATTTTAATTATTAATCTTTGCTCCAATTAGATAGTTATTCATTATAATCAACTATTAATATTTTTCTCGTTCATTTTATTTAGTTTCGCATTTAACTGTAAATTATCCCGACTAAAATTTTTACCTAATACGAGTTTGACGTCAGTTCTGAATTTAAAATATATTAAGTAGAGCCGGTAAAATGGCCCGAAAGCCCATCAAAATATTCGGACTTGAAAAAAAAATAAGACCCATTTATTATCCGGGCTTTTAAGTCCGAACCGTTAAAAGCTCGATGTTTAATCGGGTTAGTCCGATCAGGTAGCGGGTAGCCCGTTTAGTTTTTTTTAATGAATTTTAGACCTTATTGTTAATTTAATTTATAAAATTTAATTTTATCATTGAGAATTTTACTTTGTTTTAAATTCTTGTTCAAATGAAAAAAGACAAACAATGCACTAAGAGAAATGTTATAAGTTATATTTTGGTGTGTACAACATTATTATCATTTTCTAAGTGAAATGAAATGTCATACTGATGCATTTTTTATGTGAAATGTCTGTTGTAATTTGACGCTATAATAAAACTAAAGTATAGTGTGTACAATATACTAATAGTATTATATTATTTTTTAAATATAACACTCACTTTTTAATTTTAAAAAAACAAAATTATAAATATAAACCGGGCCGGTCCGAAAAACCGTAGCCCGTGAAGAGCCGGGTTTGGCCAATCAAATTGTGGCCCGTTTATAATCCGAGCTTTTTAGCCCGACCCGAACAAAACTCGAGCACGTCATGGGTCAGCCCGTTTTGCCAGCTCTAATATTAGGATTGTTCACCATCAAATCTATTTAAAAGAAAAGAATTTCCTTAAATATGCTAGGTTAGAAAATATTGTTCATTCTGTTTTCATAATTGCTACGATAATTCACATAAATATCATATTTTTAAAATGAAATGAATAATAATAATAATAATTTTATTTTTAATATTTTCTGTTATTTATAAAAATTTATCAAATAAATTCAATAGGCAAAAAGTTTATTATAGATTATTTTATTTAATGAAAATAAATATTAAATCAATTATTTAATTAATTATTACATTTTTAAATTAATAAATATTATATTAAGTTGTGTTGTTGAATTGTTCTTGATGATTAAAGACTCCCATGTTTGTTTACTTTTTTTAAAATAAAATTTAGAATGTTATATATTTTAATGTAAAAAAATTATAAATAAATTTTTTATAAAATTTTATTTTGAATAATTATTCTTAAAATGTTATTTTAAATATTTCATTGTGAAATTTTTTTAGTGTTAAAATTTCAAAAAGAATTCACTTAAATTTACCGTGAATTAAAAAAAATCATTTAATTTTAAAATTATTTCAAATAGAATTTTAAAATTTTTTGGAAAATAACTTTTAAAAAATTATGATTTCGATAATATTTTGATATTCAATAATATATATTATTTATGTTATAAGATATCAAAATTAGTTTTTTCAGTTTAAAATCTAAAAAATATATATATAAAAAATTTTATAATATTTTTGAAAACATCTTTATAAAAAAATTTAAAAATACAAAAAAAAAAATTGTAAATCTAAAACAACATCCTAAATTATTCTTTTTAATTAGTCTATTGAGAGTTCTTTACTCTTATTTGATTGATTATTCCATAAGATTAAATTAATCTCTTCCCCTTATCAACCATTAAGAGGACAATACTCTTCTCATAAATTTGTGTACAATTGAATCAAATAATAATTTCATATGATTTATGAAATAGTTTACATGTGTCGGTTTTAATATATGAATTTTGTTATATAAGTAAATCTTTAATTTATTTACAAATATTTTATATGAGTTATGTCTTAAATAATTAACTTGAATCTCTTTTGTCTTCAAACACACTTTTTTTTTCTATAAAGGTTTGATACATGAAATGTAACTTCTACTTCTAAAAGTTATGTAAGAGGTATTGCCATCTTATAGTTTATAAACATCATACTAAAAAACTATAAATAGTAAATTTGTATTGAAAACAACAATAAAATCATTAATTATAAAATTGTATTAAATTTATTACACAATTTTTCAAAAAATTTTATTATATTTATCTCTTAACTTGTGTTCTTGGAGCACAAGTTAGTATTACCCAAAAACAAAAATAGTGCATTTTTTATTGAAAGAATTATGAGAAATTTATGTTTATGTTTTTCTAATTTATCAAAAATACATCACTTCTTATCTATAATTTCTCTCTATTAAATTCCTAATTGACAATTTTTTAGGAAGTTTATTTGATTCACAGTTAAAACCAATAAAAATTGATGCCATCACAATGGTAAACCCGTTGAGATTTTTAAAATTATAATCAATTAAAAAAAACTAAATTTCTTTAGTATCTATTACTCATAAAATTATGAGAGCACATGTATCCTCTTTTTCCAAAATTATTATCTGGCCACACAGAACTATAAAATTATAAAGTTAAGAAATACTATATTAGCATAGTCATTACCAAAATTACCATAATGAACGGTAATTGTGAATCTTTTATCACCATTTATTTTATATATCAATAATAGACTAATTGTATTAATAATTTCCAAAAATACAATTGTAATAACATTTGAGAAATTGTAGACTTTACATAAACTATAAACAATGAAGGACTAATAGCTTTGTTGATACAAATGTTCTAGACTTTACATAAACTACAAACAATGAAGGACTAATAGCTTTGTTGATACAAATGTATCACTCAGTATTGATTGTAACATATGCAAATGTTATATAACATATACTATTACATACTAACAGATAATTATTAGGTAAAATGGCTTCAATTAACTTACATTCAGTATTCATTATGCCTTATATATGTTACAATCAATGGTAACAATATAGAAGAGTGGGCTTAAGACTAACCAGGCCCAACAAGCCCAAGACAGAAAGATAAACCCAACAAACCTTCCCTTAAGTTGATCTCTATACAACACTAGATCAACGAACAACTACAACAATAAAACCATATTAAATAGTAAAATACAATTCACTTGATAAAGCCTGAGTCACACATTCCCAAACCCTCCCGTAATTTGAAGAAGGTTCAAATTTTTAATGTCATAGTCATAATGTCTCCCAACTGATCCAGTGACTTACAAAATTCCAGCTCAATAACTCCATCATTGTTGAGTTCCCTAAGAAAATGGTATCTTACATCAATATGTTTACATCTTCCATGCATAATGGGGTTCTTTGATAACTTGATAGAATAATTGTTATCACAATTTATGATAGTGCAAACTTCTGATGCAAATGATTCAACACAATATTCACCCAAATGCACTGACACGCACTAGAGACAACTGATACAAACTCAACCTCAATAATGGACAAATTGACAATTGGCTGCTTTTTGAAAGACCAACAAATTGCACTCAATCCCATTGTGAATACATAACCAAAGGTGTTTTTCCTATCATCATGGTCACCTGCATAATCAAAATTAGTCCAGCTCTACATCATCAAATCACCATTAAATTCATTCTTGTACATGATGCCAAAATTCAGAATTCCCTTCAAGTATCTCAAAATCCTTTTGACAACAACAACATGTAACTCAGTACGCCTTTCCATGTACCTTACTGCTAAGCACACTGAGAAGGTCATGTCTAACCTTGTAGCTAACAAATACATCAGGCAGCCAATCATCCTTTTGTACAGTATAGCATCTTTGGCTCGTCCTTTCTCATCTTTCACAAGCTTGCAACCAGGTGCAATTGGTCTATAAACTTTGTTGCAGTCTTCCATGCCAAACCTTGTCAGAATTTCAGAAGCATATTTCTGCTGATGAACGAATATTCCTTGATTACATTGAATTACTTCAACTCCTAAGAAATACTTCATTTTCCCAAAAGAGTCATGGAAAATTTTTCTTTCATATATTGTTTGAGTGTTGCAGTCATCTCTTCATCATTGCCAGTGTATATGAGGTCATCTACATACAAGCTTATAATGAGAATCTTTCCCTTGCTCCCATGTTTGACAAATAAAGTTGGCTCATGAGAGCACTTGTCAAATTTTTTTGCACTGAAGTAAAATCCGATCTTACTATACCATGCTCTAGGTGCCTGCCTTGCCCCATACAAAGCCTTATTGAGCTTGTAGACTTGGTCAATGGTTGTTCCACAAACGCCTCCTCAGTTAGATCACCAGTGGTTGTGAGCAGCCAAAGCAAGAATTGTTATAGTATCCCACCTTGCTACAGGAGAAAAGACTTCATTATGATCAATTCCATACTTTTATGTGTATCTATTGCAAC